ACGACGGTTCGATGGGACTACCAGCCAGATATTTGCAGAGTTGGTTCGTTGGCATTAGCCGTACCATCTGAAAATAGGACAACAAGGTAACAGATCATGTTTGTTGACTGCTCTGTTGGAAGAATGTAACCCACGTTGCCAGCATACCGACTGCTTTCTGTCATGAACGTAGTCCAGTATTTCCTGCTTTTAAACGGTTATTGCTTTCTAAAGGTGGATAAACCTAGTAAAAATTACCCTTAAATCCCTTTAATAAGATTCTAATTATCAAATTTAAATGAACCAGCAAGTGTCATTATGATTTTGCACTTTTTTTATTGAGTTCGTTATTGAAAATAAGGAATCAGATTATACACCTCACATGCACTGCTAGACGATTTAAAGGTAAATGCGAACGCCCGATAATTCCAGCTTTTGTCGGTTTCCAGGAGTCACGACCTGTGGGATACCAAACTGTTGAATGTGTGTATGCATAAACTATTTCTCATAAGACTTCGCGTGTATAAAACAGCAATTAACTTTAAACATTTCAAACATTAGGAATCAGTATCAGTTTTGCCACGCGAAGGACAAATGTATTGCCTTCTAATACTCATTACTAAAAACACGCTATTACTGCGGATGGTAGCTATTGTCTCTTAACGTGGATAATAGCGCTTTAATTAAGAGTTAAGTGTGACAAACGCATATGACTAGGACTGCTATAACAATGCTTAATTTCTAGAAAAATAGATGACTTCAACTTAGCCAAGAGACTCAAAAAAATTGTGGAAAATTTATGAGGGATAAATTATGAATGGTTATTTATTTTACCGATTGTAAGAATAATAAACTTTGATCTAATTTGTCAGCACAACTAAATAAATGATAAGTACATGATTATACTTAGTTTTGAAAAAAGCACCTGTATGCACGAGTCGAGTTAGAATTGGTGTAGCAGGTTACGATTCATCTGTGCTACAAGGCATTTCAAAAAAACTGATGTGAATCGAGATGGTTTACTCTCGTTAATCAGGTCCGTCCATTCCCCTTCCATTGTCTCCTTTTCCTAGTGTGTTGTCAGTCATGGGAACCTCAACTCCCTCTAGATCTAGGCGAATGTTTGTCTTAAATTGCCTCTACGTTTAACACAAATATCTCGATAAGCATCAATGATAGCACATCTACGATGTTGTTTCACACATCTGGGCTACAAATGGACACGAGTAACAGCCACATAACAGCAACTTGGTAAAACTCTCAAGTAAAACGTTGTGTCTTTGCCATCTTTGGTCCTTTTTATCTTCTTGAGTACCCGTGTATATTAATTGGCCCAAATTCAAAGCGGCTCTCCCGGCCTGGTTTGAGACCATATGCTGGACTTTACAACAAACCACTTTTCAAAACAGAGCAGGCTTTAATAAATTTACGTATCACAGAACTGAAAAGTGATCTTAAATTGTTAGTGTTAATGCGTAATATTGAAGGTGTTTCGGGTCTGAATTAAGTTAACCTGTAGTCACTTATTAGGATTTTAATAAATCAGAATTATGTAAACTTATGTTTTAACAGCAATGGTCATGCCCGACTTTTACTATTACAAATAGCTCATATTAATCAATAATGTTCCCACCATCATTTTAACGCTGAGTTAAGTGAAAAATATACAGTTATTATTTGACTACGTGGAAGAGGCACCTACTAAATTAATCCTCATTAACACCACCACGAGACAACGACACTTTAGTTGAATGCAATACTGATTTTTCAGCGATTCCGTACTTTCATTTTCAGATTTCAAGCCTACTTTTTATTACCCTGTTACAAAACATACTGTTTTTCTGTCTTCAGCTTCGATCTGATTCAAGAAAATTTGTTTTATTTTCGTATAGTTGAAATCGCAGTTGAAGCCCAATTTAGCTTGTGTTGATTTGTCAAAACGCGTGGTATTCAAAGATTATGCCTTTGAGAGCAATTGATTTACTATAAATGACAAAAAACTATCGAAAAATTATACTCTAAGTCTTTTTATCAGTACGTACAATAATAATAATAATCCAGATATAGTCATTAGAAATGGCAAAAAATAGCCCAGAACAAAATACATCGGTTAGAATTAGGCCGCAATTTTAAAGTAAAGTGTATCACCTTTAAATTCGGTATGGATAGGATCACTATCCAAAAAAACGTCATGAGTATGTTTCCTTTCAGCTCCAGCATTCATTGTTTTTCAAATTCATACAACCCTTCATGAGAGAGTGGAAAACATTCCATTTCCACACTTTGCACAATTTAAAATATGAAGTGTTTTCCTATGTTTTGGTACCTTAGAAAGCACTTAGATAACAGTAAGTTAGTAATATGATGACTAAAGAAGTTTCAGCTGAGACAAAAGTGCGTGTCTAAGCCATCTGTTAAAACTGGGCACGAAGTTTTTATTTCTACCAACACTTTAAGGAACTTTGCCTTGTTAAGTTACATTTGTGGTTAAGTAAATAAAAATAAATGCCTTAAAATTTATGTTAGTTATTTGCGTTTTGAAGAATTCTGTTGATTTGTTTTACGCTGCTATGGAAAGTTAGAGGTAAATTTTGCCCAGAAACATTTATCATACAATCTTTCCTCATTTCCCAGAACAATTATATTTACTTTACCTAGGTTTGAAAGTGTAAGTTTCCTTTTGAACATGTAATTAATGAAATATCATAAGTAAAATCCATACTAGTAAATATTTTTAGACCGGTGTGCTCATTCATAAACTGATTAAAAACATTTGCTGTGTATTCTGAGATATCAAAGTTAGAATTCTAGATAAAGCTGTATAAGTTCACGAATTAGGAATAGCAGACAGTCTTGTGGCATATACACAGAAATAACGGTCATACCAGAAACCTTTGTTTAGGCACGTTGTAAATCAGCCCACGCAGTTAAATTAGTCCTCAACTCTTGAACTTGGGCTCGTGCGGTAATGTCCGATGGGGGGCCAGCGTGCCTTTTTATTAAAAAGCGACGAAAGGCATCAACTCGTATTAAGAATGGTTGGTTGATTCTTTATAAAGTATGTCATTTTTAGATTCTTCTGGCAGTGAAGATGACGTAAAAATAGTGAAGAAAAAAGGGCGCGTTGAGTCGAACCCACTTGTCCAGCGCGTACAACTTGTATTAAGTCAGCTTATTCATTTTAGACGGCGTACTTCTCAGCTAAACGGAACGATTGTTCCGGTGATGAGGCTGATGATGACTTGACCAATGTAACATTCAGGGCTGATTACACCGCGGTATTATCTTAACGATAACTTAAAGTGTTCTTGATGCATTTAATTTTTTCTAAGCCGCCTTGATTTCTAGTGCTTTCAAAGCTGTTCAATATTGGTTTTGGATTGATTCGTACTACCACGTGTTTATTAATTTTAAGCTCGACTACCTTCTTGAATTGTCCTAGTTGTAACATACTTACACAGTGCAATTACCCTTTGCATCTGGCCCAATTTGCCCCTGCGATGCCATTTGTATTTTAATCACATTATTATCGACAATAGAAGTCATTCACGTTTGATTAAATTGAGAACTTCAGTCGGACATCTTATCCTACCCTTGAAACATGTGAAAATTGACAATCAGTTCTAGTAATAGCCTTCATTTTTCACAAGCCTGAGCATACAATTTTTTTCTTCAAAAATTACATATATTGTTCCTAAAAAATCTTCATTTGTAGTGATGCGACCCAATCTGTTCGTTTGTTGCCAAATTGTAAATTAAGTGTCCCTATTACTCTGTTATTACTTAACACGCCTACTCTTACTGTAGTTTTATGTGGTCCGTGTTCCACTGTCCCTTTCTATCCATGAGATCGATTCTATTCCTAGGATTGGGGTCGAAAGTCACGATGAGTCTTTGTTGTTAATGTGGAGATATATCTAATATGCATCTCTTACCAGGTCGCACAAAAAATGGTCATAGTTACAGAGAAATTATATTCCTCTAAGGTGGATTTCTGGTTTATATCGATGGTTTGCTACAAACCACTGCTCAAAATAATCTTTACAATTCCTTCGGTTCCGTGGACCAGTATCAAAATTTACGTGTAAAATGTCGTTATTCGTGTTCTGTTTACTGTCTTAAGTCAATACCATTAATTTACATGATTCAATATCGCTATTCTTGTTTTTCTACAAATGAAATATTATTTTTGTTGTTGATTGTGTAGTTGGCAATGTTTGCTCTACGAGGTACGCACATTTCATTGCCAAATTCATCAGATTCTTTTATTCTGACTCATGCTCTCTTGCCAAATCGATTTATGTGGAACAGACTTCTTCCGGTGACTGAATTCATTTTCATTAATGTCAATACTGCATGTTTCCTGCATTCATTAGGTTCAAAGTGGACCAAAAGACCAGGGTGCAACTGCAACTTTAGAGGTGGATACCGAAACATCACATGATGCTCAGGCTCTCTTTCTCAAAGCAAAGGAAATTAATAAAGAACTGAAATCTAACCAGGATAAGATTTACCGTGGGATCAACAACTACGCGCAGTATATTGAAAAGAAGGATACCGTAATGGGCAATGCTGCAAGTGGATTCAACCGAAAAGGCCCCATGCGTGCCCCGGCACACTTACGTGCTACGGTTCGATGGGACTACCAGCCAGATATTTGCAAAGTTAGTTCATTGCATTAGTCTCACCATCTAAAATAGGACTACAAAGAAACAGGATTCTGTAGCTTTGGAGACAGCTGTAAATTCTTGCATGATCGATCTGACTATAAGCACGGGTGGCAGTTGGAACAGGAGTTCGCGGAGGGAACCTATGGAGTTGAAGGAAACGATGACCGATATGAAATCAAGTCGGAAGACGAAGCTGATGACGATGCACATCTTCCACTCAAGTGCATAATTTGTCGTGGGGACTTCAAGGATCCTGTTGTGACATCGTACGTTCTGCGCATATAAGATTAATTAGACAGACTGAAACAACTATGATGGTGTACGCCAACCATCTCAAAGTAGTTACATCTGTTGTTTCCTGTGAACCTCCAACTTTTGACGTAATTAATCACACAGTTGTAGATTGCGAGGTTATGCCCTTGATGTATAAATTCCATTGGTATTGACTGTACCGCCATTCGTTCTGTCTCTTGATGCCATCATAAAGTTGCTAGCATGTTGAACAGCACCTGATCAAGCAAATGGTTAATGCGTAGCTCAGGTTTGGGCTGTATAGTAAATGCCAGCAGCAGAAATGCTTTGGTTGCCAATAACCAGGAAGTGCAACCACTAGACGTGAAAACAGCGATTTCAAGGGCCAGGATGTGCCCAGACTTCAAGGGGCAAATCTGCCCAGAGTGGCGTAAATGTTGCACAAACATGTC